GGGGGCTTGTTATAGGTGTGGTAAATGGACCATATGGTAAGGAATTGTCCCCGAACTGAACAAATGCGAGTAAATCTTCTGCCTCAGTTGAATTCGTACCAATGGTGGGAATTGCTAATCAAGATAGAGTAATTGCACTCGTTCCAGAAAGCACTCAGAATACTGCAACCGTTATCCCAGGTATCTATACTGTTTACAAAACGAATGCTTATGTGTTGATTGATTCTGAATTAGTACGTTTGTACATCTTTGCTTGGGATATTATTTGATTCGGATCGGCATATTTTTCCATATCTGCTGCATGTGTATCTGGATCGGTTAGACCTACATGATTGAGACCGTGTTCATTGGAGATATATGCCCCATTTAGGAAATTTGTGAAATACGTTTTGGGATATGGATTGACTCTGCGCATGCACATGTATATCTAAACCTATGCTCAAGTTGATTTGCTATGTTGCTGTCTTCAATGACTAAACCACTGGAATTGTGACTTTGTGATTGTATAATTGAGTTGAGCACCCCAAATGATAAACTCTATAATTGTGAGACCATGCATTTTGATGGGTAGAAAATTGACTGGATTATGTGACTATACTGGGCTCGACTCATAAACCTACATTTTGTGACTAATTTGGAACTTTTGTGTAATAGACCCTATCTTATGTACAACCGAGGAACTCTGTTTAATGTGTTATTGTGCACCATGTGCTTGTATAAAAGACTTGTTTGGGAATTGCTGTATTGATTATGGTACATATTTCCTAATCTGAATAACTGCATGTTTATGCAACTACCCCCGAATTTATGTAGTCAATGCCATATTGTGCATGACTTGAAATGCTTTGATATGAACAGTTGTGATGAATAATTTTGATATGACTTTGAGAACTGATAAACTTAGGACAATTGTGAAACTATCAGCCATGTGCCTAAACAAACGAAGTGAGCCTCACAGAACCGAATGTACCCCATTTGAGAAAACTTTTATCTGATTCGATCCGATAGAACCTTTGCCTGATATTGTTATGATGGAACCCTCATTTGATTTTGTAAAAAGGGGATTAAGAATTGCTTGTAAATAAATAGCCAGATTATTCTTGGCAGAAAAATTGATAGACCCAAAACTTGATTTTGTTTGGAATACTCGACTTATTGGAAAGACCTTTTGTGGACTATCAACAGATTGACCTAACCAAACGCACTGTTGAGAACCAATCCCTAACTATTGAGGACATATGTGTTAAAAATGAACCGAATTGTACAAACCTCGTAATTGGGTGTCATAAGGAGTGTTGTTCCATTTTGTTTGTTTGACGCTATGGGAACTGATGACAGTAGATTGATTTGATTTTGAGCAGTACTGAACATTTGCCTTTGACTGATCAGAGCATGTTTTGTAAGGGAAAGTGGTTGCTTCAGTGTTATCAGATTTTGGGGAAATCAGGTTATAGCGAATGGTGTTGTGTTGCTTTGATGACATTCTTAGAGTGTCCTTTCGTGCTAGGGGACGTTAAGCCTATGTAGCACCTTTGATTGAGATACCTTTTGCCACCGACGGTTTCGTACGGGTGGGTTTGACTAATCGATCTGGAATCGGCCACCGACGGTCGCGAACGGGTGTGCTTCGATTCCGAGACGACTATTCCTTTGTTTTGTTCGGAATGTCATCCTCTGGTATTATGTAAATGTTTTAACATCCAAGAAACTTTGAAAAACCCTGATTGTCCGAAAAGTGCGTGAATTCAGTACGCTTTGTATATAACTATCCAGTGTCATTATATTCTGTGATTGGAACCTTGAGAATGTGTGAATTGTGTTTGACATGCGATTGACTCCTTTGATAATGCCTTTGACATCATGGGGATTTACGTATATGAATTACCTTATGCTTTTGACGACTATCAGATAAAGTAGAAAGACTCGATGGAACAGAGAATTGAATACTGAACTGAATTGTGAATTGCAAACTGTAAACTGTTGAATGAATGAAGAACACGTGCATTCTATTAGAAGTCGACTGCCTCAGTGTCATTGTATTTTACAATTGGTACTATGGGGATATGAGTTACGTATGTCGTGTGGCTGATCGCTTCGTTGTTATCTTTGTTGACTCGGGAATCAGTCCCTGAATTCACTTTAAATTCCTGAGGACTTTTGATTAACCTTGAATAGCTATAATGAGCTACTGAAAATACCAAATCGGGTAGTGTATTGTGGAATTATTGAAGAATGAATTGAACTTTTGTGACAAGGGAATGGACCGAACTTCTATGATAAAGTTGGCTGGCATCTGAAATGAATATGTTGGTGACTTACCTTGAAGAGGGCAATTATTGAAATTGTGTCTAAATATTTTCGGTATCTATAAGTCGAAGTTGAACATCAGGTATAGACGGGGCTACTTCGACCTCCCTCTATTTCGGAATGGAATTAGGGATATGTGACTACGAATTTCATTGTGAGGCTACCTTAAGTACTCAAGGTGTAAGTCCCATTTGGGTTATTGTATGAAGGATTACTAAATTCGCTCATTTCCTTCCAGTGACATTTTCGTATGATGCTTGTAGACTAGCCAATGTTTACATCAATAAGGTTGCTTGTTGTATGGGGTCCCAGTATCTATTGTTTAGACAGAAATCCTGAAATGTGTTTGAATGCTGTCAAGCCTTCAAAAGGCGATGAGAACTAAATTGGGATTCAGCTTAATGGAGGGCCCCACCTGAACAGCATCACCGCGTCAATGAAAATAATTGCAGGCGCATTCTCTGAAGCCTTATGCTGCAACATTGTCAGTATCATCAGTTGAAGCTACTTTCTTTCCAACGTACCGCTGAGGAGAAGGGGACATATTGACATATTTGTATTTGACCATGTGCATTATCTGCCTCTTCATTGTTGAAACAAACAGCACCACCCAATAGAACAATAGAATTGGCCAAAATACAGGCACATCAAATGCACTGAAGAATGTGAGCACGAAGGCAAAGCAGAAGGCTTTTGTTACAGAATACCAGAACTTGAACTCAGGAAGGCGGCGAACGAAGGGACGAAACTCGTCAGATCCGCGAGTGGGGAGGGGCCATCGGAGAGATGCGGGATCGACCTGAGGGGAGAGGAAGAGGATGAAGAGCTGGAGGATGTAGATGCCGTGGCCATAGGTGATTATGTAGTAGCCTTGAAGGAGGAAGACGCGGATAGAGTAGATCAACGCCACCAAGACGAAGCCAATCCAACGGTGGTAGACGAGAGGCGTCGACTTGTCCAGGAGGTGTTGGTACCACCGTGACACGGCGTAGCTCCACTGCGACACCGACGACGACGACGGATCATCACCGGAACCGCCACCGAGATTCATATTTTATTTATTTATTTTGTCTCTCTTCCTGATTCTTGTTGGAACGGAGCGGGAGATATTAGAGCCGGTCTGGGCAGTGTAGAAGGAGACGGTGCGCCACCAGTCGGAGACGGAGGGGTTTTATAGAGTGATCAAGGTATGTGTAGAGGTCCGGCGGACTAGGTTGAGGTCCGGCGGGCGGCCAAGGCGAGGTTGCCGCCGGCCGGTGACGCGAAAAAAATACTAAACTCTTAACCTCGCTCTGATACCATGTAAAAATATATGTATTATTGATTGATATATTGTTGTGTATACAATGACTCTCCTATATATAGAAGAGAAAAACATATTCACCTACCACACTCAACTCTCACCTAACACACTTACATCTACCTGCCACACTCAACTCTCACCTAACACACTCAACTTTACCTACCACACTTACTGCAACATTGTTTACTTGACTGCACTTCCTAGGCATATCTGCACTCTGCACTTTTGTGTGCTTTAGCACAAAATCATTCGAGCATCATGAAGAGTGCTTATTTGACAGCAAAGGGAAAAATGATATTTTCAACTTATGCATACACTGCTTTAAAGAGAATTTTTCAAATCTTCGAAGCCGAACAAACCTGGAGATGTTCCTCCTCAAAATTCTCCAATTAGAAGTAGTCCCAAGCAAGATCTGGAGGAACTATATTCCTGCAAGCCCAGATAAATGACACCACTTGATTTTTTGTACAACAAGATAGACTTGGCACAAACTGATGATCACTTGTTTCAGGAGTTCTCTTGCCAAGGTCGGTCTCCAAACTACTACATTTATCAAGTGGTAACTTTCCTTGCTGTAGAACCTTAGCATGTCGTTTCCCAAGAGAATTTGTTTGGAATTTATTTCCCTGAGACCCAATTGCGACAAACATTACACTTTCTACTTCAAAGCAGAATAAAAATATTAACATATAGTTTATGAGGCATTGCTGCTTTTTTAATGAAAAGACAAAATGGTCAGGTGCTCATAAAGCTGATAAATACTTACATCCATAAGATTACATAAAATGAAAAAATTAAAAGAATTCTTTTATGGAGTAGTTCAAACATGCCTAGCTGAGAACTATTTGAACAAAACCTGAACATTACTATAGAAGAAAAAAATTACCATCAGAGGAACAAGACAAGACATTCTGACAGAAAAAATACAGAAACCACCAAAGAAAAAGGGAGAGAGAGAGAGAGATGATAACTTTACAGTCCTCAATCTTATGGAACCCACCATTCCTCGAAGAGTATAAAAATACTATATTGCCTCTGTTACAACAACAAACATAGCAGTCTTCTGGGAAATACTAACCTCAAAGATGACAAAAATACTATTACTATATTGCCTCTGTTACGACAACAAACATAACACAGTCTTCTGGGGAATACTAACCTCAAAGATGGAGCAAACTCTTCCTTCAGTATTTTGATCTGAGGATAGAATGGAACAGTGCTTTTCCAATAACCTCAAATGTTGGCAACGCCGAGCATTGTGTATGAGATTTTTAAGCAATTTAACAAGTGAGTGATATCTGGAGCCAAAAAGAATTGATTAGAACACAAAGTCAAAAACAGTAGTATAGTTTGGCCAATAAAGACCAGTCTCAGCATGTTGAGACTTCTGTCATATCAGTCCAACCTGTGTCTATTTTGACTGTCCCTCCCCATTTCAGAACCTCAGAACCACAACTGAGTTCTACTAGCACTTCTGCCACTCACTAGGAAATGATGAACAAAATTATGCAAGTGAAAAAATGCCCCCATGATATATATCATACTTATGGTTCCCGCTCGAGCGGGGAAGTTTACGCTCGAGCGGGGAGCTATGTAGATAGGCAGTCCACTCGAGCGGCCGAGTTCACGCTCGAGCTGGAATTGAAGGCAACCAGTACTTTCGCAGACCTAAGGGTCCGCTCGAGAGGGGAAGTCCACGCTCGAGCGGGGACCCTATTTTCTGAAATCCTGTTTTTGTATTTTGTGTTCTGTTTTCCGTTCTCTTTCACTTGCAAGCACTCTTAGGCATATGTTAAGCATTGTAAATGAGTTAATGAGATGATAATAAAGCCTAAAGAGGAATATGTGAATTAAAGAACGGATTGAACTGTTAATGGGCCAAAGGCCGTTTTGAAATGAATGAGTGGGCCAAAGGCCGTTTTGAAATGAATGAGTGGGCCAAAGGCCGTTTTGAAATGAATGAGTGGGCCAAAGGCCGTTTTGAAATGAATGAGTGGGCCAAAGGCCGTTTTGAAATGAATGAGTGGGCCAAAGGCCGTTTTGAAATGAATGAGTGGGCCAAAGGCCGTTTTGAAATGAATGAGTGGGCCAAAGGCCGTTTTGAAATGAATGAGTGGGCCAAAGGCCGTTTTGAAATGAATGAGTGGGCCAAAGGCCGTTTTGAAATGAATGAGTGGGCCAAAGGCCGTTTTGAAATGAATGAGTGGGCCAAAGGCCGTTTTGAAATGAATGAGTGGGCCAAAGGCCGTTTTGAAATGAATGAGTGGGCCAAAGGCCGTTTTGAAATGAATAAATGGGCCAAAGGCCGTTTTGAAATGAATAAATGGGCCAAAGGCCATTTTGAAATGAATGAGTGGGCCAAAGGCCGTTTAGAAATGAATGAGTGGGCCAAAGGCCGTTTTGAAATGAATGAGTGGGCCAAAGGCCGTTTGGAAATGAATGAGTGCGCCAAAGGCCGTTCTGAAATGAATGAGTGGGCCAAAGGCCGCTTTGAAATGAATGAGTGGACCGAAGGTCGTTTGACATATATGAATGGACCTAAGGTTGTTTCGACATGAACGAATGGACCGAAGGTCGTTTTGATATGAATAAATGAACCGAAGGTCGTTTTGATAGAAATAAATGGACCTAAGGTCGTTTTGACATGAATGAGTGGGCCGAAGGCCGTTTTGACACGAATGTATGGGCCGAAGGCCGTTTTGACGTAAACGAACGGGCCGAGGGCCATTTTGACATAAATGAACGGGCCGAAGGCCGTTTTGACATAAATGAATGGGCCGAAGGCCGTTTTGACATGAATGGAAATTTAAATGGGCCAAGGGCCAGAATGTTTAGAACTACAGTCACTTGGTTTGAATTTCGTATAGTTATATATCTGTTAAATGGAAATTTGAATTGAGCCTAAGGCCGTTTGGAACATGTTGTCTTACATTGTTATGTAACTTCTGTATTTGATTTGATATTATTCACTGGGCTTTCGCTCACGCTCATTCATGTGTTTGTAGGTGAGCCAAGAGAAGTCCAGACCCAGCCTCAGAGAAGTCTGTATGGAACCACTAAGGTTTTGAGAGAGTCAGCCCTTGTGTCTCACGCATGAGACCCGCCTTCGCCTTTTTGTTGTGTATTTGCATTTTGTCAGGTTGGCGAAGTTTTGTATATGTCTGCTTATAGTTTTTATGGGTTCACTTAGTTTTGGATGAGCCTGTTTGTACAGAACCTATATCACTATGTTTCTGTTGTGAGTTACTAACGTACATATGTATGGTTTGTT